TATTCATATGTATAACAATCAAAACTGGATTAATGGAATCTGGTTGTTTAGAACGATCGAAAACAAGTGAGTAAACAAACCTGCCCACAAATATGTAAACATACTCATATACACACATACCGAGTTACGTGGTAAAGAAAATAACAGTAAGTGAATAAATACAAGTCTCAGTAACTTCTGATAGTTTATTATTTATAAAAGTAAGTATATATTTCAAGGTTAGAATAAAGAAGAAACAATAAACACTTTTAACCAATCACTAAAACTTAATAATAATAATAATAATGGCAATAAGATCCAATATGGTGATATGCTACTGCGGTTATGTATATAGTTAAGTTATACCATTCTGATAGTAAGCTCTATTACAAGTTTTTAAAAATTATTGAAAATATAAGGGAAGACTGAAAAGTCTACAACTCATTGACCACTAAATGATGAACGATATTATATTTAACTAATCTTCGGTCTAAATGATTCGATATAAGCTTTAAACTACATTGAAACGTTAGGGGCGGTTGAAGAGAACATCATTCATTACAAGATTGTAGGTATGAATTGTTAAAAAGTGCCAACTAGCACGAAACCTAAGTCTAGAGTTTTCTGTCAAGTACTTTCAACAACTTAACACTAAAGAATTGTTTTATCTTATTTTAAGACTCCTATAGTAAGGCGTATCCATGAGACATGACACGTGGATTTTTCTGATAAGTACGATGATAACTTTAGTAGACTCATAAAAGAAGATAATCATATAATCACTTTAATAAAAACGATTATCATGTTCTCAATACTAATTGGCTTACAGATAGGTTTCTTCAGGTTCTAGTACGATATTGTGACTTGAAGAGGGTCAATAATTCAGAAGGCAATAATTGATAGATATTATTTCGTGAATCGAATAAAGAATAAATGAGAGGAGGAAGGGAACGAACATTAATTCACGCTAACGGAAAATATTATTGTTATTCAACCAATGTCTTAGATTTTATTTTTAAGGGTTTGAATATTTTCATTACCGATACTAGAGACTGCAATTGATTAGTCTCTTTCGATATGTGAACCGTGAGTGGATCGTCTAGATATTGTCATTAAATTCTTTAAGTAAAACTAAATAATGGATAGTAATGGAATTTAGGACACGCGTTGTATCCTATTTGGAACTCATCAGCTGTATGTATCTGAATCCTATTATTGACATTCACACCGAGACTCGAATACAATATATTTCGCTTCAAACATTCAATATCTTATCCAGTAATCTAGCTTTTGAGTCCAGATACCCAGTTGTTCGTTTCAGACGTTATGAATGTGAGACAAATGGTACTTGAATAAAGTTTCAAAGTGAACCACATTACTGGGAAGCACGTACATCAATCCGACAAGTCTCAGATACAATAAAAAGTGAATTCTGAATTCTAATGTTACCTACCATCGACCTTTATCAATGTTTTATAATTTCTAAAAAAATATATGGATCAAATTAACGAATGATAATAGTCAAGAGATAGTCAGTAGATTTTCAGAAATTGATAATAAAAAAAAATTTCTAAAATATTTGCTTGATTAACGATTGATTGTATTATGGTCAGTTGTTTATTGGTTCAAGGTCATAGAATTATTACCAATTCCACCAACATAGTCACAGAAACAAACGATCTATCATAATAGAAAAATGTTTACAATACAAAGTGTATTTTATTGACTTCAACCACATATTAATTTATAGTGTGAAAAGTTTGAAAAAAAAACGATAATAATGATAATAATAAACTATTTCATGTTGACCTTAGAGTTGGTATGCATCATAAATGTGTGATTTTCTACGATTTGATATTCAGTACTATAAGTGAGAGGAACTTTCAACACCAACATGTATGTATATGTGTATGTGTATGTGTAATTATTGTTGGTGTGAATGAACGACATGTGAAACAGTTGTTTGAGATCTAACTACATAATAATAATGAATTGTTTTTTTCGGAAAAACAGGATTCAATGTATTGACAGAGACAGAATACTTGGCTACACTTATCACATGATTAATCATTCGAAATTGACATTTTCGATTATTATGATATATGTGTACACAATTTTTTTTTAAATTTGCAGCTAAATATAATCATTGTGTATGCCGTCGCACAAACAGGGTTAGTCTAAGTGTAATATATACAGAATTGAACGGAAGATTTATTTTTCATGATTATTTTCACTTGTTGATTCTAATTAGAATCAGATCAGTAGGGCGGTAGAAAATTCACAACAGTACTTTATTAACGATTCGTCGCCCAATGATCCTGTCCCCTGAAATTATTTCACCTAAGATTTGGGAATTCAGATCAGATCAGTGTGCATATTATCAAAGCGGCAATCTTAGTGCATTAACAAACTATTCTTTTTTCATTGATCGAGATGATCTTAAAGTTATTATCGTTAACATGAACTCAATCTAAATTCAGTGAATAAAAATATTTTATAACAGAAAATTCTTGAAAAATTCGACTTATAAAGTTATGAACAAGAATATTAAGATCATGTTTGTTACATAGTGATGTTAGATGATAAACGACTGGACAGAAATTGAGCACAAAATTGGTTTTGCCTTCTAGTTTGAGGCGACTGGAAAGTATGCCCTTATAATTCCATCAGCAATCGAATTCAGGAACTTGGAGTTCTGATCAAGTGGTCTAAAATTGACAAGCTCACTATAAATCCAGAAGGTCCTTAGTTTTATATTTCTTGTGATATAGTAGGTGTTCATAGCTGATAAGTTTCAAGTAAACCACCTGGTACTTACTGGTTTTTAACAGTTTACTAGCTGGAGTCAGTCTGTGAAGGAACATTATCTGAGGAAAATTTAAATAAATTTAAAAAATCAGCTGAATCAAAAGTTTCACGTTTGTAGTGAACAGTGAAATTACACATCACAAAACGTGACTTAATAAGACAACTAATCAGATGATCGGATTAACACTACCAAATTCAATAGGAGTTGAATAAAATAGGTGTAAAAGGGTATGGGTGATGCATTAGTAAAGGTTTAAGAATTTACCATTTCAACATTATCCAATATGTTTGAATAATTGGATAATTTTAATTGAATAAGTATTTTACAAAACTAAGGGAATAACACGGTAGATTTCAAAATACATAAGTGACCAATCAGTACATACCAATGTTATAGAATGATATAGTGGGGATCTATCCATGCTGTATGATTTGCGTAATACAATAGTTATCCGTTGAGTGCACCTACACTTTAGCCCACTTGTGAAATGTGATCTCACATTATTTAACACTTGAAATATTGAAATAAAACTAAAACCTCATAACACTTGTATAGACCGTTATTGTGAACTGTTGTCAATTTCTTCATTTATTGTACAGTATCTATTAGTCAATTGTGTATATTAATTTTTGACTAAAGCTAATAGTAAACACTTCATATTGAATGTCAGCATACACATAGGGACTTTAACTAGTGATTAGAATCTTACTACCAGATGGTAGTTTATAAACTTTTGCTAATGATTAGTTTGTATTATGCAAGATGTATAAGTTAGATATACTGTAGTTGAAACATAATTAATACGCAGTGCACTATAGTGTATCCTATTTGTATACAAACAGAATAATATCAGCAACAATACGATTGAGTGACGTTGTATAGGTGGTTTAAATATATCTAATGTATTGTAAGTAAAGTGGTCATATTGTGACTGCTAATCGAATACTATCACTGTAGTGCGTGCTACTTATGATGACAGACGTAAGTAGCAGGAAGTGGAAGTGGAACGACTACCAGCAGAAGATTAAAATAAGAGAAAATAAACGAAAAGAGGTTAATCGGAATAAGAACAGGATTAGAAGAATGATGGAATGTGTAATGGGAAACTCAAGGAAGATATGTAAACGATGTATTTAATGTGTGATTTTCATATTTCACGAAACTACGTCATTTTGCGTAAAACAATAAATTGGTTTGCCGTAGCTGAGTTTTCATTCACTACACTACTACTACTACTACGAATGACAATAATAGTAATATAAAGTTAGCTTTCGTCGCGAATCCACACTAATTGGGGAATAATTGAAGAATAAGAAACATTGGGTGAAATACTTCTTCCTAATTCGAGATATTTCAGCAATACGTATCTAAGATCTTATTGCTGATCAAAGCCATGACCCTTAGGGCTATCAACGGGAGTGTTACCCTTAAACTGATGAGTTGAAATACAAAAGATCAAATTTCTCACTTCCACTAGTCGACTCCAGAGCACGTCATTTAATCGTGTTGGTGAGTAACTGTCTTATTTCCAACGCCTGAAATCCATAAATCAAGAATATTCATTAGAACTTAGGAAATTTAAGTAGAAGTTGGTTACTGACGTACCCAAGAAATAAATTTCCAATGTGATCTTTGGATCTAAATGGTTCTTCGGCTGATGTTAACCAATGACAAAAATCAAATTTAAATAAAAATTCACATTGATTATTTTCGAGCAAGAACCATATAAAATAATGTTTATGTCAATAAAAGTCTCATAACTTTAAAAACGAATAACAGTATGGAGAGAGGTGAAAAACGACGGCATCAAAAAATATCTCGGAAATAATCGTCATACATCGACTCTAATTAGAATAACATTGAAAACGGAAGAGCACTAGACGACTATTTTGTTATAGCACCAAAGATTCAGTACAGAACTGCCAGGTCTCATGACGAGCATTTAAATATTATTAGGTTAAAACATTTGTCTATTGCTTTCTGGTTTCCAACGATAATCCAAATTAAGTTGATCTGTGATATTACCTACAAATTAATCTTATCTCGACAAAATCCCTAAATCGAAACCGAAGTATTAACCAACTTGAGAATATTCCGTGGGCTCAACTCATTCATTGTTCAAATGTGAATCTACTCAAACCATAAAGATATTTTAGATACTTTTACAAAGAGTTTATAAAATATGAATAAAGCAAATAGAAAAAAAACTCACCTGAGGCTAAATGCCGTAGAGCTGCAATTTTCAATTGTGGTGATAATCTTGATTTACCCTGAGAATCATGTAAACCGAACATTCGAAAATCTCTTTTACGCACTTGTCTCACTTGATGATGTACATTGTCAGCTTAAGTTTGAGAGAGAGAAAAAATGAGAAAAAGAATTTTCAGATGTTACACATTTATAGATTATTTACACCTAAACACACTACATACTTCTCCTCAATTAGGAAGCAATTAAAAAAACTAAATCTGATTTATGTGTCCAAAAAGAGACAGAAATCAACTTATCACTAACATGGTAAATTTATAACCTTGAGAAATACTCTCTTCAACTATTATATTTTTGATTATTATTTTGTTAATGTGAAGTCTTCACTAAACTAATTCTGATATGTATAGGGTTGTGGAAATTGTTGAGTTTCATTGAAATCATGGAAATTTGTGTACACTAAAATCATCCTTTTATTTACTCACTTAATTTGTTCAAATCTTTTTTTAACTATTATGTAACCCTACAATTTCTATTTCTACATAATTACTATCTCATTACTCTAAATCTATATCTCTTCTAAGGAGTTCTGAATGTTATGTAAACTCTTCAAAACTATCATTATCACATGATCTATCTTATCTGCTCTCGAACTTGATTTAATTACTATCTCAGCTCGTCTCCCTATAATTCTGCAACCCATCTACAAATGACCTTAAACCTATTCATGCTCAGATATATATAAACATAGTTATTATTGATCATCTTTCCGACAGCAATATCGATCGGTTCATATTATGTCATACCTCAATGATACACTTTAATACATATATGGATGTAAGCAGCTGATGAAAAACCACGAAATATAATGAATTCGCATTATTCTCGCTCAATTGTTATTTAAATTTATAAAAGGGAACTAATTGCACGAAATATTCGCTCCAGAGATATTATCCATAGAGATGTTCAAACATAACTGATCACAAGTTTGCTACTGATAACCACATTTGATTCTTATGTCGATTGGATTGGCTACACTTTGAAGCTTTTAATAATAACAGCTGGAACTAATTCTTAGGTTATTCTATTTAGTTCCTTCGATTGAGATCATGAACCGATTGATGTTAGACCATCAATGAAAACCTGGAAACACTGGACAACCGTTTCGTTCTATTGCGGGATTCCTCAACAGTGTGCATTCACGATCCCGTACGCGGGACTCAAACCCACGACCCTCAGTCTCGAGTGCGAACGCTTAAACTACAGACCACTGAGTTGGCATCGAACGGTGTTAATGTCTAACCTCAGCCAATCAGCAAAATTTCGCCACCATCTTCCATTGTACTGAGGTAGATACCTGTCTCTATCCGACACACTAGAACTCCGAGAATTCCCTAATGAAGCTAGTCATTAATGAGCATTTAATAATCTCCACAACCCTATACTGATAATATTCTATTTAGTATCTCATCCTTGTTTCTGTAAATCTATTCTGTCGGAGGATGAGTAAATAAAAATGAGGTATAGTTCCGAATATAGAAATCATCCTTCACAAATTCTCTGGTGTATATGTGATATTGATATGAAAGCCTTGTAGATGATTGTATATTTTCATGAATTTGTATGTATAATTCCAAAAACAAATAATTAAAATAAAAAAACCAGTTGAAATCAGTTAATTAAAATAAAATTACAAATTCGAAAAGAAAAATAAAAGAAATGAGAATGCGGTAACCAAACATTGCAAAAAGGTTGAAATAAAATATGATGTAATGAAGTGAGTGTCATTTCACTTTGATAAAGAAAGATTTTTATAGTTCAGTTCATGAGTCGATTTAAGCTAGACTATCATTGAAAACCTGATGCACTGGATAGCCGTTTCGTCAGTATGTGACTCTTCAACAGTGCATATCCATGATCCCACATGCAGGACTCGAACCCAGAACCTTCGATTTCGCCCGCGAACGCTTATAGAAAGATTTATCAGTGTTTGATTTTGAATGTATATGTTTAGCTTCCACAGTTTTATGGCTATGGTTTCAGTAAATTTAAGAATACTAGGTTTAGATTTTTTATTAGTTTTTTAGAATTCTTTGAAATCATAGACATTAAAAGTTTAAAACTGAGCTTATTCATTCAGTAAGGAACATTGATAAGTATTTTTTAACCGTGATGGAATTATACAAACATTGATAACCAACGGTAAGGTTAGTGTGAAGGAAAACGAAGAAAAATCACGAAGTAATAGACCATATCATTGATAGATGATAAACATTAGGATAAATGAATTAATTGAATTTTTTTTAATCTCAGTCATTTTCTACTTACAAAGTAATTACTAAAAATCTCACTGATGGAAATGATTTTGAACATTTTAAATTTTTGTAAATAATAAAGTGAAAATTTTAACGATTATTAAAATTGTCAATTCAGGGTTGTAGAGATATTGACCTTATTGAAATCATGAACCGATCGATTTTAGTTCTAGTGAGACGGCAACTAGTAGAGACCAACCGTGTCGGATGTGGGGTAGTTATCTAAAGAGACAATAGATGATGGAAAATACTATGGACTGATTGAAGTAAGACATAATCACCATTGGGTCCCGACTCAACGGTCTGGAAGTTATGCGTTCACGGAAGAGACCGAAGTTGTTGGGTTCGAGTCCCGTGTGTATGGTTGTGATGAACATTGCTGAGGAATCCTACACTAGGAAGAAAATAGACAGAAGGAAACTATTTTTACTGTAAAATGTTATGAAGCATTTACATAATACACATGCATAACCATCAATCGTCCATTTACATCTTTTGGTGTGTTCTAGAGTCAGACAGTCTTTTCATCTGGTTACCAAGTGTTTTGCCAACGCCATTCCTCCGTTGTGCAAAAACTCTTCAGTCTATCCAGAAACTTTGAGGCCACGTTCCGCAACATACTATTTACAAGCAACCATGTGAGAAGTGTCCATTATACTAGGACTAAACTGCCGTCCAGTGCTTTCACGTTTCCAATGGTAGTCTAGCACTGATCGGCCCATGATTTCCATAATAATTAAAATATTTAAGGTGCATATGTAATTATGTATGCTTACGTTTCAGTAATGCTGTAGTTCATGTGCATTTAGCCGTAGGTATAGAAGCCTACTAAATTACAAAAATATAGTAAATTGATAAGTTTTAAGACGTGTTCAACGTGTGTATCCTAATGTTGATTGTTAATTATTAAAGAAGTTCCATTGAAACAATGAGCATGAAAAGGTAATTACATGTTTTCTTATAGCTTACGCTGCACTTCATTTACTCACTTTCTCAGTTGAGTTAATTGGAAGTATAGTAAATCTAGTTTGACGTGTATTTCGCGAGAACTTTCTATTTAATACTACCATTGCTTAGATCGCGGATTGGTCCTAGCTAGATCACCAGTGAAAATCTGGAAACATTGGACGGCTGTTTCTTCACAGAATGGAACTCTTTAATAATGCACATCCACAATTTCTACAGTGGATCAGAGTGGAACTTTTCTTCTTGCGCGCGAAAGCCTAAATTCTAAGCCAATGACCTGAGGAGTCTCATACTAAGACAAAACAACATTCCAGTGCTTCCAGTTTTTCAATGGTAGTCTATTTCAAAACTAGTTCGTGATTTAAACAATAGTAATATTGAATAAAAAATCTCCAAAAATAACGTTCAATATTATTTTACTATGAAGGTTAAAGGGTACAATTAATGTGTTTCTAGAATAAATAAGCTTTGTGGAAGCCTGAAAAATTATTGCTAATCTGGTATAACAGCAGACGAAACTAGTAATCATTTGTTATATTTCTCAGGATAGTATAGTAGTAGAATTAAGATAGGTATTTCAACTCATTCGGAAGTCACTAGTTGAATTTATTTATGCATACATAAAAATTTGAACATATTGCCAATCGTTTAGAGTGTTATATACACTATGTGTAGTTGAGCCCCAATAACCACCCAGTGATTATCAACATTCAGAATACACAAACGTTTAATTTTAATTAACATTAGTTGCTTGCTCATTTTACTAATTATTATCTAACAAAGTACTGACTAGTTAAGCTTAAAATCATAATTGAAACGTTTCAATAAACAAATTTACTGTTCCAACTTCAGTTGTGAATGATGATGATAATAATAATAATAATAACAATAATAATAGTATTACAATTATATTGATAATATTTTCGTAAACTCGACATAACACCCAGACATATTTTCGATATCTCAAAAATATATTTCATATATAGTGAATAATTAAAGGTTTATTGTGACCGTCAAACCAAATTATCGTTTTAATAGGTAATCAAACACAGAGAATAGAGTGTTTTGTGCAAAATCACCATAATTGTAAGTGAGATGAGATATATACTAAAATGCATAAACCATAATAGGTAAATTTTTTAGAGAGACCATTCCTCGAGCCTTTAATTAAAATTTTCATCCATAAAACAATGAAACAATGTTATGAGATCCAGTTCCATGGAAATCAGTAAACAAAATAAGCTCAAACGACATTCATTGTTTAAGGTTCCTGGGGTTTATGTGGACCATACTTTCTAACCTTTTTAAGTGAATCCTTCGTGACTAATCAATCAGGTCTTATTGGTGTATATTAGATGTTCATCCTTTCATTCTTATAAACAACACCTTTGCTGAAAGAAATACAGTGAGTTGAACTTTCCTAGCAGTGGTTATGAACGTGTGATCATATGAGACTATTTCGAGAGAGAAAGAAAGAGAGAGCTAGCTCTCCCTACCCTCAGCCATATAAGAGAATTTAAATTCAAATAAATTACTACACAATTATTCTTTACTATCTAAAAATATACTTCTTTTATCTCTTAACAATTTCAATTCCTTATTCATGTTTTGATACCAAGTGGTATCGTTGTTATTACTTCTATGTGAAATTGTTTTTCATCGTTCACCAAATCTCATTCATATTTCTCGAATCATGTTATCCACTGTGTTCAATGTTGTTTTGTATTATGTATACATGGCTTATATTTCGACTCTTTCTTTCTTCTTATTTTATTAATTTCATGTGTTTATTTTTAGATAAAAAAAGAAATATGGTTAGCAATTAACCGTGGACATTAAAGAATATGTTGAGCACCATTTTGAAGTTATGAACCAAATATATTTTCGTAACTTAGTGGGTATTTATTAATTTAATGAAAGTATCTTAGTCATAATGATAGATATTACGAAGTGTCATCTATTTTATAATTAATCAAGTAGATTCTACATCCATGAGATGATTTAGAAATATATGTAAAAGTGATATTGTTTACTTAAATCCTCCCATTGATGTTTAGGATTGCTATTAATCAGTCTATTATTAGCATATGTGCATAATGTGCGTATTGCCTAAATACTGGACGAGCAAGTGGTTATCAGGACTCAGTAGCTAAGTGGATAACGCAATAGCGTTTGATGCGAACGGTACTGGGTTCAAGTTCCAGAGTGAAAATCAACACAGATGCAGGTACATTCAACTGACAAGACCTGAATAGGTCGAAACGACCATCCTGGATTCCACTTTTAGCCACTATCCACCTTTGCTTATGCAAAAGTGGTTAGTAGTGAAATGATTCAAAATCAACTTAAGGAAAATATGGTATTTTATGTTAAAATATTGAGAAATATTTCAATATACAAGTTTTGTAGTTATTGATGATGTCAAAGCACAGTATTCTGATATACATTAGTATGGTAATATTCGTTTTCGAAACCTTAGAAACGTGTCAAAACAAATGACAAACTAAATGAAGCCAATAATAAATTACGAACTATGGAATTTTTTACATTTCTAACTTCTGCATATAATTATATGCAGAAGTTGAAGTGTTTGAAATTAGACTAAAATTAATGTCTAAGCAAATTGAGAAGCCTAAAGATAATGATTTAACGAAATCAGACACATAACGAGCTCAATCAAATCTAGTTCACGAACAAATGGCGTTAGATTTCAACTCTTAAGAATGAATTTTCACAACGTTTTGAAGGCTTTAAAGTGTATAAACTACAAATCGATTTGATTTGGAGCACCATTGCAAACAAACGGCACTAGATAGCTGTTTCGTTTCAGCGTGGGACTTCTCAACAGTCTGAACTCCACAAAAGCGCTTCAACTAATCTGTAATAATCAGATCAACAGTGACTCACTTCAACATATTCTGAAGTTTTAGTAAAAAGTCATGACTGATAGAGATCAAACACGTCGTAAGTGAAATAGTTATCATTAGTGACATTGGTTGATTGTTGTGTTAGGACTGTAACAATGGGCTATGGTATAGTAGATCTACTGAACAAGTGTTCACCGCGAGACCTCGAGGTCCCAAGTCTGATTCTTAGTGGAATCGTCGGTGAGCTCATAGTAGGACGAGAAAGCTCTTCAGTGCTCTTTGATTTTCAGTAGCCTATGACGAATGTGACCTACATACTAGGTCAATCTTCACAAAACCTTTTCAACTGAATGCCATTTTTTAAAATAAAAGATGAATATCAGTAACTTCATCACAAATCATTAAGCCATTTTGTATATGAGACCGGGTCTGATGAATTATCTACGCTTATGTGTCGCTTAAATAAAAAAGTTTCGTTCAACCTCATCTATCCAGTTAATAGACTGAATCATTTAAAATGTACAAAGTTCTAACTATCACCAAAAAAAAACAAGATAACTACTGTAACGTTTTTTTATCGCGACATTATGCCTTACTATTTGCAAACTGGTAAACAACTTATTGCATTTATCGCATACCATCCTATGATTTTATTTTAAAACTTCTATTTACAAAGTTCCAAGGTTAAAAACCATATGAATTTCATTTGTCACATTAATTTGTTATAGTTGATTAGAAAACAAATTGTTGGAAAAATAATAAACATCATGTTTCTCGTCATCGTTGAGTATATGTATTTGTTAAAGTGATAGGAAGAAAGGACTACAAAGATATAATTATCAGTATAGGAGTTGTGAAGATTGTCAAGTTTTAATCAAGATCATGAATTGATCAATGTTAGACCACCAGTACTTCCAGGTTTCCAATTGATCTATTCATGATCTTAATGAAAAAGACATAACGTACTTCTGATAAATTATGTCTATATTATTGATTTTTTTACTTGGGTAATCAGATTAATACAAGATACATATATTAAATCATATGTAAGACTAATTTAACTGTATATACTCATATTTGGACTATATCTTGTTATTCGTTTAGTCCTTGTTCCTTTCTAAGCAAAATCGAATGAAGTACAGTGGCAGGCAGGTGAAAAAGTAACAAGTTAAAATGTAATAGTCATTGCTTCTAAATTATGATCAGTTTGCGATAGAGTGTAATCATTATCCTAAACTAAGCTACAACAGGCTAACTCAACTGAAAGATACCTCATTCACTAGACATAAATCATACTTACTGAAAATGAAAACAACTGACGAGAAATAATACGAAAAAAAGAATAGTTGACAAAACAATAAAGCTTACTTAAAATATCTGTTTCATCAACTATTTCAGCTTGAATAATTTCTTCAATAACATCTTCGAGTGTAACTAGACCAATCATTTCACGATATGGATCACAGTCACCTTCTGTTACTAAACGCTCAACAAATGCCATATGAGCTCTTCCTAAATCAATTAATATTTAGTTAAATAAATAATGGTCGTCAAGAGAATGGAGGAGGGATATTGTGTTAGAAAGCATAAAACAGTATATATCGAAAATAATGAATGAGTGATAATCATTTGAAAAGATTTATAGTTTCAGAATTACACAGTCTAATGACAAACTCCAAGAAAGACTATTAAAATCTTAGTGATAATTTGTAACCAGTGGAATTTAATCATGTTGCAACTAAAACTAGTATCACAGATGGCAATGAATGATGTTCACATAATACTCTAATCTAACTGAATTTGGAAACATGAACTGTTAAGTGTGAAATCAGCTGTCCAAAAATGTGAAGGTTCTAGATTCGATTCATATTGGGATCGTGGGTGTTCACTACTGAAGAGTCCAATACAAGGAAGCAAAACCTCTTCAGTGCTCCTTGATTTAGAATGGGTTTTTCTAAGGTCAGTAGTCAGCGATTTACATTTTAGATCGAACAATCATCATAAACCGTCTAGAAGAAACATAAACATGAAACTGTTGTTCGATGATCAACTCTTCGGAATCCGAGTCATGGCGTCGGATGGATCTTATCCAAACTAGTAAAAGTAGATATATGTTACATATTAGGTGATGACTAATTGTCTGTAGTGTATAGACTTTTACTTTGTTGTATAATTATGGGAAATTTGGGGTGGATTTTTTTCTTAAAGTTCATATGAAATACGCAATAGAAATATATTTATGATTTACTACTGAAGAGTAAATCGATCCGAATCTGATAAACTAATATCCCGTTTATTTTATAGCTGTGCAGTGAACTTTCTCTCTCATTTTCAAATTTCTTTAGACCAATTATTTATGCATGTTAACCGCATAATTGTACTAATGTAGTGAACGAAAAACTATGGTGGGGGAAACAAATTTATTGCTTAATGCAAAATTACACAATGGCTTAACAAAATATAAAACCATACATTAAATACATCATTTGCATATCTTCTTTGCGTTATCCTTTACCTACTCCATTATTCCTCTAATTCTGTCGTTATTATGATTGCTCTCTGATTTCCTTGCAATTCTCTTCAGTTTAATATTCTGTTACTAGACATACCACTTTCGTTTGCAGCTACATACTACTTATATCTGTCAGCATAAGTAACATACATCACACCAACACTCATGGGTTTTTATAAAGGGCCTAACAATTTACCGAAAGTCTGAAGTAAAATAAAATTTAAGTGAAACCATCACAATGGTTGGTGTATTTTCTTTACGACTCATACTTTTTTTCAAGAAACACGAGTCTTCGACAGTAATTGGATTCATGCATGGGCAATTTGTACGCAACGTAAAAAAATATTTCCCAATATTTAATATTGTGTGCCGAGAATTTATTTACTGCAGTCAAACAAATGGAGTATTGGGCAAAAATGATTACCACTGCTACTATTAATATTTCATCATTACGTGTCACTTATTTCTGCTGCATTCAAGACTGTGATCTACTGGTTCTAAATCACATCAGCTAACTTGGATAGTAAAAGCCCAGTATGGAAAAAAGCCAGTCAAAACCGAGAAAACGACTTAAATGTTTAATGAGAAATTCACCACACAAAAATGCACAATAGAAATAATTTTATCAGAACAGGGTTTCGTTGAGATTTTAGCAGAACTGATTTTAGTTAAACCACCGTTGAAAATGTGAAAGTCATGACCAGTCAGGTACAACCATGTCGGACGAGAGACTCTTATTTACCACAAGCAATGAAAAATGGTTGATTGAGGTAAGACATGCACACCATTGAATACCGGCTCAATAGTCTAGAATTTAGGTGATCACGTGCGATCGAAGGTCCTCGGTTCGATTCATGGATCTGGAAATGGCTTTGTGTAATGCTCAAAAGGCTTAAAATTAATAAGGAAAGTCTTTTTTTCATTTGATCATGAAAAAGAAAACTTTAAACTCAAATGTTGATGTTTTATATATGGACTTTACATAACATGTAAGCCAATCAAGCCTTGTTCCAGTCTTCCTCTCTATTATAAACTATCAGAATACATTTCATTAGCAAGCTAATAATTAGTGCATGAGCTGACCAATTAAAAATTCTAAACTAGATAACGATTTTCATATATGAATTCTGTATATCAATATAGAGGCAATGGTGGTTCTCCTACGATGATGACAAACATTCCATAAAACTAACTGTGGCTATGAGAGATATAAGGAGAGATAACTTTTAAAGGAAAAAACATTCACACTCAAATTAACAAGTTTACGTAATCATATTGTCACAACAGTAGAATAGGGAAAACCGATAATAACCTTAAAAAAGTCAATAAACTTCTTAAAATCATTAAACTGTAACAATTTTTTTTTATTATATCCATTTCGAAATACTTTTGATTTGTACAGACACTCACTGTTAATTTAGTTGAAAAAGTGTCTTCAAAATCATGTGGTCATTTTAAGAACTAATTGTCAAGCTCATCCCTCTATATTATACTTTTACCATATAAACTTGTGATATTTAGCGTGACGCATTTCTAGTTTGTTTGTGTTTGTTTTTATTTATCATATTCTAACAGTACATTATTCATTATATAAAACATCTTCTGAAAGGATATGAATAGGAAGTCGGATAATACTTTTTCTAAATACAGAAAATATTGGAACAGTTGCATTGAATTTGGCAATCAGTGGTCTCCAATGAGATAACAATGTTTATCAATAAATGAGAAAATATACTATTAGGAAATTATTTATCCATCACCAACTAATATCAAATGTCATTAAACAATTAATAATAATGTTGCATTGAAACCCGAACTAATGATAGGGAGTGATGTAGTTGAGCGTGTCGACCGCTTCATTTATTTTAAAGTCTCATCAACCCTTGTTGTCTGACGTCTGACGAAATCCCAGCATGGATACAGAAAGTTCGACTAGCTTTTACCAACTCGCGTCATTTATGGCGTAAACGAGGTATCCGTCTACCAACCAAAGGACGGGTTTACTGGGCAGTAGTTCGTTCTGTTCTACTATACGGCAGTGAAACATGGTCGGTAAGAGTAGAGGATATTCATAGGTTACTAGTATTTGATCATAGATATCTTCGAAGCATTGCTCGTATATCCTGGGACCATCGAGTAAGTAATGCAGTTGTTAGGAAACAGGTACTAGGTAAGGATGGCAAATCAATTGATGAAGTAGTGAAACTTCATCAGTTGAGATGGCTTGGACGTGTTATTTATGCCCAACGACCGACTGCCTCGACGTGCTATGTTCAGTGGTATAGGAGTAGGTTGGAAGAAAGCTAGGGGCGGCCAGAACAAAACATGACACATCCATGAAGTCATTGACAAGTGGACTGATCCATGTTGGTAGGTGTAGACTACCTGGTTGGGATCCGCGAGACGATAGCAGCCGATGGTTAGAGACCCTGAATGACATGGCTCAAAATCGTTTACAATGACGCAGGTGCGTCCACTCTCTGTGTTCTCCCAAATCCTAATCTTTTGAATTCTTCATGTCCTTTTTTCCAAATTTTTTTCACTGGATTATACTCTTTAAATAACATCTTCAAACCCTAGTATTTCCAACTACTGCCCATACTTTTACTACCTCTACCACTATGGGATTTGAATCGACAATTGCATTTGTGTGCTAATGTGGTATGGAAACTCAAACTGATGTACGTACGTGCGAAGTTCTACGTTGTTACTGACTGACAGATAAAATGAACAAATATCATTGGGTTGAATAATTTTTTGTTATTAGTGATAATACTGTGTCAATTAGGCGATAGAAATGTATAACATCAAGTTTTATGAACTTTAAAGAACTCCCTTATGTAGTAACAACAAGATATTAAAAACATACTCAGATTATGTGGTTTTTCGACAACAACAAAGAAAACAAGTGTATTCAAACACAATATGAACGAAGAATATTCTTTTCAATGAATTTCTCATCAGGTTCTACAATTATCTCATATCCAAATTAATAATCCATAAAATTGGTCAGGTCTATGGCAGAGTACATCATTTATAATTGTAACATGTGAATTAAAGATTGTCATATAAAATCAAATCACTAATGTTAGGGGGCTGACTAATGTGATGTTAACTTGAATCACTTTATAAGTGAAATGAAATTGTGAGATGAATGATCAGAATGAATATGGTCAACATGGGGTGAGGGAGAGAGAGAATAATGGAATAAAAATCGGAAATTACGTAATATGTAGAATAATATGAATTAGTAGATAGGGGTGGATGCTAAATAAATTTCTCAAAAAGGTTAGCAAGTATAATAATAATAACGACACTGGCAAGATGTGTGAATAAGATAAGTTCTGGATATAAAAATGAACATTAATCAAGTTACGTCACCATCTTATAAAATTGATTATTAACTAGTTGGCTCCAAAGTTGGCCGGGGTAAAAGAAACGACTGAACATATTTCTTTTGGATGCAAAGTTCTGGCTTTTTGATTCGAATAGCAATTGCTTCAGCCGTCTGTAGGATTCTCAGTCTGACGGAATTAGGTAGAATGCTGTTAACACAATATATTATTGCGAAAGATTGCTCCATGTTGACTGTATGTCCCGTCCGAATTAAATGGGCTAAAATGGAGCTGTTAACCGTTTTAACTACACCTTTGCTTAACCACACTGGGAGGTGCCAACGAGCCCGAATATACAAATTCCTAGAACATCTGCCAATATAACTTGCTCCATAGGAGCAGTTGAAATGATAGATACAGAAAGAAGTGGCTAGTCTAGGCAATTTATATTTCAACCTCGGAGTGATCATTGGACGTGTAGAAAACATTGATTGTAGTTTACCTGCATTAAAAGCTCTTTGAATTGATCTGCGTAACTTCAGTCCTAGGATTTCACTAGGTGCATCGCCTCTGAATCGTAAGCGTATATACAAAGGCTTTTCATTCACAATCAGGCATACTCTATGCTTTCTTTTATTGGCTATTTTTCTATTTATAAATTTCTC